ATAATTTTGATGTTTTTTAATTTAAATATTAATAGATTATAAAACATTAATTATGAAATAAAGAGGTCATTCTTAATGTCAACGGCTTTCTATTAATTTTACTAAAAGATCTTTATATACATATAAAATATTTTTCAAATCAAGGTACAAGAAAACATTATATAAATATTTATAAAATTAAAAAATTAAATTAAAATTTAAACTACTAAAAATAGATGAAGAGGGTATATACATTACATATTATATGAAAATATCGTCAATTTGAGCTTTTACCTTATGCAAAGGGTATTGAAGTTGCTTCTCTAACTTTGTGAAAAGGTTAAAAAAGAATTCCCGACAAAAAATAGATTGCAAGGCTATAATACGTCACGTTATATTAGAACCACAATATTTTCATTCTTTATGCTGGTTCAGAATTTTAGGAAAACTATTTTGTTCAAGAAATTATTTCAGAGCTGAAGCAAACTTACACTGCATAATCAGGAGATTATCCGAAGTCACTTCATTGATTTATTTATTATATTTTTTTCAGGTAATTCAGCCTGATTAGATTTAAAGTTAAACACACAGGATGAAAGTCTAAGCCTCCACTAATTCTTTCAGAAAAGACGGTCCAGTGATACTGATTTCATTTCCGCAATCAACAAACTGGTAGTTCACAATCAGGTGGCCCTGTGCATATCCTCTTCCATCTGTGTCCAATCTTTGGAACACTCCAATATCCAGATCTAACCCTCCATTGCTGCATTGATCTACAATCCTCACAGTTTGTTGAGCCCCAGTCCACGCATTTGTAACCTTCATTAACACAACATGAATATATCAATCTAGCCTTTAAACAAAAGATAACGTTATTTGTTTCTTCCTTTCCTTTTTTTTCCAAATCAACAATAATGTTATTGGTTTACCAATTAGAGTAGATTGTAAAATAATTTTTGATTGATTACCTATTTATAGAGATTGGGCAGTTTACTTATTAGAGAATATTTAATAGTTGTTTTCTCCAATCAAATGAATGGGGAAGAAATTTAAAGCTTCTATAAAACATTGATTTTGTCATTGTATGGAGGGTCTTATCCCAAAATCAAGGCTCATTTTAATCTAATTACTAGTGTTTTACAATATGATGTAGACAAGTTTGCTGAATATATATATATATATACTAACAACAAAACCAAACAGTACTTAATTAAATAATTTTATAACAAAATTTTCCTATCAATATCAATAGGCTAAGTAGCTAACAACCACTATGAATTTTATCATATGAATAAATTTAGAAATAGTTTCTACAATCTAATGCAAGCTAGATTACAAAATCTATATCCTTGAGTGAGAGATTTAGCAACAGTCCTACTCATCTAGGGGCAATAATGTTGCAATTTAGTGTAGGCGGAACCATAAAGCATTATTCTCAACTAAATTTATTTTTGTTTATAAAAAATTAGTAAAGTTTATGATTTCTTACCCTCAAGCACTTGCCGCAAGCAGCTTGGCCATGAGGCCCAACAGGGCCACAGAAGGCGGTCCAACCATACTTACTCCGCCATGAATAGGGCTTACTAGCATCCCATGTAGAACAATAGGCACTCACTGCGTTCAAATCCCATCCGTGTTGCTCCGGATTGTAGTAATGGTAAGTTGCCCGCACATTCGAAGCACTTTCACCAGAGTCGCCGCCTTTGCAGTTGCTTTGGCAGTTCTTTGAGGGAGAACAGTAGTCATCGGTGGTGCCACAGTACCCATATTGGCTGCAACAGATGTTGCCAGGACAAGTCTTGCCACCAACCTGCGAGCCACACTGCTGAGCAACTGCACCTCCTAATAGACTTAACAAAAACACTGACAGCAGAACAAATCTACCCATTTTTTGTCCAAATTAATTTTGGTCTGAAATCAGCTTAAGATTTCCAAGGATTTTATAGGAGATGATTGTATCTAGAAATGCCCTTGTGAGGCTGCTAATATTGCTAGGTGTTTGACGAAAGACTAAGCAAAAAGGTGGGCTGCTGCAAATAATGGCATTGAAGGAGATAAGGACAAACTTCTCAGTAGGCTGTTCGCCTTTTACTCAGTCGTATTATCTAGGAACAATCCCAAGAATAGCACCTCAACTAAGTTGTTTTATCCAATCGAGTTCCATCTTTAACTTTTGACTCAAACAAGACTCTCAAAATTAATGTGTAACCAATGAGCCCCTCTACTACAGCTTTGCAAAACTAATATCTAGATTTTTTTTTTTTTTTATTGTGCTGTGATCAAATACCTACTTGATTTGTTTTCTTTGAACTTTATAATTTGTTATCAAGGATTTGAGTACAACTTGTATTACTCATAAAATTTTGATTATCAAAAAAAAAAAAAAAAGCGGTCACATAATATAGCTTTTTCTCTATTAATGTATACATTGTTGAGTTGATGACTCACATATTTATTACGGATGTTGACATAAACTAGTTCAAGTACTTTGTTCTTTTAACAATCAAAAGGAGAAACGTATATTAATAGGAATATAAGGGTATGCCAATTCTTAAAAAATGATATACACAATTCTCAACTAACTTGATAATCAACTACATAAGCATCTAATAAGTCTAACCAAAAACACAACTCCATGGCTTGTCACATTCACTATGGTTGCTTCCTTTTAATTCATTGTTTGTTGTTCAATGTTCAACTATTGTCTCTGTACACGTGTGGATCCATACTCTAATCATGAATTGAGAATGTCTTAATTCCTTGCTTTATAGTCTTGATAAAAATCTCAATTTATATGTTAAATCATGTAACATATTTCCCAAATTATCCATCCTCCCAAATGACTTACAATTCCTTCATAACCTCACAAATCAAGTCCTAATGAAAAATAACAATGCCCAAATATCCC